GGAATGCTCACCTTGAGCAGCAGCCCCGGAGAGCCCCCCCAGGTCAGCTGACATCTACTCATTAAAGTTATTACAGGGCTCCCTTCATCCAACTGGAAAAAATACAAACCCGAAGCAAGAGTTTTGCATTAGGTGACAGCAGGAGGAGCAGCTGCTGCCAAGTTTCTGGGCACAGTGCCTGTGTCTGCACATCCACACCCAACAGGCCCTGACAGCCCAGCCCCAGAGCCTGGCAGCATCACTCAACTTCCAGGAATCCATCCCAGTGCTCACCTGTGCACTCCGGACTGGTCCCAGTCCATGTCCCATTCACAGTGCAGTGCCTGCTCAGCACTCCTGTGGAGTAATACCCTTCCCTGCACTGGTAGATGATGGAGCTGGAGAAGACCAAGCCGTCGTTAAAGATAACCCTGGCATTGCTGGGGGTGCCAGGGTTTCCACAGGATACAACTGGAAAGCAAAGTGGCCAAGTTAAAAATAACAACAACAAAAAGAAACCCCTCAGCAAACCCCACAAAGAACCCCCCAAAACCAACCCCCAAGGCTAACATCCTGCAATAGAGGGTTCTCAATCAAAGTAAGATTAGCTGCAAAGCCCCTGGGTCAGTTCAGATACAACAAACTATTCCAAGGACATCAGCTGTACTAATCCACCAGGATCCCTCCCAACACCACCAAGCCCAGAGTGAGGGCTCCACCTTGCCAGGCAGCATGTCCCAAGGCAGAGTTCAGCATAATGGAGCATGTCCAGCATCCCTGGCAGAGGAGTGAATAAAACCTCCCTCCCTGCAGCCAGTTGGTCCCTGAAGCATCAGCCCTGCTCCTCTCCTGGGGGGATCCAGCAGTTCCCCCAGCAGCCAAGCCCAGGAGCAACCTCCCATCCCTGCTCCTCCAGGCTGAGGAACAACTTGTGCCCTCTTGCTGCAGACTTAATCCCAGCTCTCAATCTCACATCTGATCCTACAGCTGAACAGAGCAGGTGGTGCCAAGCCTGGAGTCCCTCCATCCTGCAGGAGTGTGGGAGCCTGGAGCTCAGGGAGCCCTTTGCCTCTGGTGCCTTTGGGAAGGCAACAACTTGCAGACTTGAAGGGAATGGCAGCAGCAGAGGAGCCAGCTGCTCCCCCACTGTGGCACAGCTCAGTGCCCACCTATATCCAATTATGTTTTCAGAGGAGGGAGGAGGATGTTGTGGGAATACAATTACAGGTCTGTCAGTGCCCAAGGTTTATGTGTAAAGTACCTCAGCCCCACAGCAATAAAAGGGCATCGGAGTGAATGGCAGGGCATGAAGCCCTGTCATGACAAAATAAGCACCTGCAATAATTGCATCCAGCCCTCATTTACTCTGAAATCACAGGACATAAAGGAAAATCACATTAATCAAGGGAAGGCTCAAACCACACACTCCCAGCTCTTTGATTATGAAATTCCTGGTTTCCATTCTTCCCAGACAAGAGCTACAATCTGCGAGAGGATCAGTCTGTGCACACACAAGGTGACCTGTCCTGCCCTGGGACTCACACACACACACAGAAAATCTCACACCCACACACAATCACACCCACACACCATCACAAGCCCTTGGCTTTGGGGTCAGGCAGCTGCAGGCCCCAGCAGGAACACAACGAGCTCAGGTCTCCAGCACAAGGAGAGAAGCTTCCCCTGCCTTGTTGCCTGCTTTGCTGACAGGCTGTTAACACATGAGCTTGTTGGAGGCAGATCTGTTTGACAGGGGGAAACTAATAACCATTCTGGGCTGTGTGCACAGAAACTCTGCACAGCACCAAACCTCTCAGAGGTGCCCTCTTGTCACCGACTCCTCACGCAACCAACGTCTCTCTGATACACGGTGTCATTTCCAGGAGATGCTGGGATAAAAGTCATATTCTATCAACCCAGAAAAAGCTCTAAATTGCTATTTCACTGCCTGCCCATCCATCAGCTGGTCTCTCCTGCCCAGCCTTCCCCATCTATGCATGTGGGCAAACACACAGGTGACCCAAAAATACCGTTTTGTGGCTGGAGAGAGAATCCTGGCAATGGTTTAACCTCAGTGTGCATCAGCTGTGACTGCACAGGTTGAGGTAGAAAAGAAGCCATAAACCTAAGGATGGAAATTTTGAGCTTTTAAAATAATAATTTAAATACAAATAGGATCTAATCATGCAAGCAAGCAGTAAGTAGGTAAATAATTCTCTTTGGCTTCAGTGGAAGATGCAAAATAAATTAGGCTCCAGAAGAAAACTGGCTTTGGCACTAGCTTTTGAACTCATCCTAAAGAGCCTGGGAATTCCATAGTCACACCTGCTCATGTCTCCTTAAGAATCTCAAACCCAATTACCTTTAAAGTGAAGTAAAATTTAAATAAAATAGCCTGAAAATCAGCTGTATTAGATTGGTATTTACTGGAGTTGGACTCTTGAGCCATGCTGTGCCTGGGCTGGGGTAGCCCAGGAGCAGGGACTTCTGGTAAGAGCTGGAGCTGTTCCCTGCCATCCCCACACTCCTGGGGGAAGTGGGAAGTTTTTTGTACACTACAAAGTAGCCTCTGCTATATAGAACACCACAATGCTCAGAGATGCTCCAGAGCTCAGCAATAATTAATTTGACTCCAGTCCACACATCCTCTTTCTGAAAAGCTTATTGAAATTCCCCCTTTGCCTTCCCTTGCTTTTTTTCCCCCTACATGTTTTACAGTGAGAAGCTGCTGGGAGAAAGGGAATCTCTCTGGGCCCTGTTGAGGGGCTCAGCTCAGAGCTGGTGTAGCTGTGCATGAAGCAAATGATGCTGCAATGATGGTCCAAGGAGGCCCCTGAGCTCCCCCCAGCATGTACCACCATTAGGCAAAGCAGCATCCTCCAGAGCACAGCAATGGACAAGGACTTTTAGTTAACAACACACTTCAGGTTCCCCCGAGCCCTGCACAGCAAATACCCCCCTGAGCAGGGTGAGCAGGGCTTGTTTCAGGGCTGCTCTGCAGCCAGTGCCCAGGGAAGGCTCCTTCCTGCAGGGAGCAAGCCCTGCTGCTCAGGATCTGCAGCCAGGACTGATGATGACCATCACTGCACATCCCACTATGCTCCAGGTGGTGTATGAACAGTGTCCTTTGCACATTTCCCCTCCTCTGACCTAATCTTCTTAAGTGTTGGTCCTTCTTTTGGGCTCTGCTGCCTCTGAAACACTCTGCTAATGATGTCTGACACATCAGGCCAAGCCTCCTGCTGGGAAAAGAGACAGCTGAGAGCCTTTGGAGGCTCAAAGCCTTTGCTTCAGGGCTGGTCATTTCCATGCTGTTTAATTTAACCAGTAAACCATCACACACCTAACTGTGCAGGGAGAGCAAGAAAAAAGCAGCTTAGACCCAAATCCCAGCCCTGCCACCTCCAGGGCCCTCATGGGTCAAAGAGACACGAGGGGAAACTCAGTTTCTTTCCGCAGTTTTGTCACTTAAGAGACTTTTCTGTCCACTGCAACTGCCAAAGAGCAGCCAGAGCCCCACAGCATTTTGGATGCAGTTTTAATTCACGCAGAGAAACAACAAACATTCTAAAGGTGAACATTCTGCTCCAGTTCTAAGAGCAGGAGGAGCAGTGCAGGGCACAGTGGCACTGAGGAGCCCCTCCTGCAGCTCTCCTGGTGGACAGAGACAGGGCATCGGGAAGGAGAGAGGAAAAAAAAAATCATCTAACATTTCATTTGCACTTAAAATCTTGCTGGAAATTAAAGCTAAATGGGGCCTGAAATCTGCAATTTTTTGAACTCCAGGGAAGCTGCTGTTACTGGGACAGCAAAGCCAGGCTGAAGCAGGAGTCTCAGGAGTTTCTGCAATTAAGTTATTTCCAAACCATTTGTACATTTTGACAAAATCAATTGTGACTTCTTCCTGTCTCCCTGGTCCTTGGGCTTTCTTAAAAATATTCCAGTGGATAGAAGGTACAAGGACTGAGAGCAAATGAGTTTAAAGGTGACCCTGGATGAAGCCCAGTGCTCCTGCCTGCACACACGTCCCCTCCGTGGGTCTGAGCTGTGCCAGCCCCTCTCAGGAGGACACTGATGGTTGAGCTCAGTCCCTTGACTTCAAAGTCAAGTACATGCTCTGTAAATGGCAGCTTGCTCTCTCTCTGCAACAGAGATAACAGCTCCTCTCTCCTTCCCTCCTACTTATGCTGTGGGATTTGCACCGTGTCCTCTGGACGTGTGCACACTTACGTGTGTCTCTGCAGCAGGTCCTCATCCCCTGCTGAGCCCCTCCGTGCTCATCCAGCAGCTAATCTGGAGAGCAATTTGCATTGAATTCCCCGGGCAGGCGAGTTCCAGTGACCTGTGAAGCCCCATCAGGCTTGATTTCGCTCAATTTTGGTGGCTGAGAGCAGCAAACAAGTGGCTGAGGCAGAGCGGACGCACCCATGTGAACAACTGCAGCTTTTCCACATCAGCAGAGACGCCCGTTCCCTCCAGGCACCTGCCCGGGCTCTCAGCTCTCATCTTCATTTGCCCCCAATTCAAGCCCAAAATTAATCTCTCCCCTCCCTCTCCTATAAATACCTGTTCCAGAAAGTTGAGTGCAACACGCAGAGAGCAGTCAGCAGAACACCTTGCAGTGCTTGCAGCTCGCTGGGAATGCAAATGCCAGGGACATGGTGCTGCTCATCACTGCAAATTGCCTCCCTATACTGGCCAGTCAGCACTTAACATTACACGACTGCATGATAGGCACAATGTTATTATTATTCATAAGGTAGGAGAAAAAAAACCTGCCAGGGATCCGTATTTTGGTGCCTCTGGAACCTGATGGGCTATTTATCCTGAGATTAATGAATAGAGCCTTTTCACCAAAAGACAAAAACCCAACACAACAGAATGGAAAAAAACCCAACCTCGAGACCTGAGTGTATTAATAACATGATTCAGTGTCTTTTCAATCAAGAGCTCCATCAATTTGGAATAAATTTCCAACTCATTTGCAAACTCTCTCAGAGCTTTTGGCTTTCAAATCAGCTGGAGAGAAGCACTTGCCCAGGTCTCCTTGCGTTTGGTTTCCTGCCTTGTTTTGGCTTTTGTTCTTCCCCCAGTTGATTTTTAAACACTTTTATAAAACAGCAGCAGTGAGAAACACAGCTCAGAGAAACTGGCTGGGGGTTTATTAGATTGGATTATAGGGTCTTACTTGATTCCTTCAAATGAAAAAATAAGGGGTTTGGGGTTTTTGACTATGAAAATATGCTCACTGGATTATCATTTGCATTTTGCATTTCTGCTTAATGTAAATGACTCGCACGTGCCAGCTCCAGCCTTATGGGGGGTTTGGAGCTATTGACATTTCTCATTCTGCTGAATTTCCTCAACAAAGCAACACTGGTACCCACAGAAGTTACACCAAAGCGGGGCAAGGTGCAGGATGCAGGTCAAGAGACATTCACCCCAGTGACTGCTGCAGTGCTGGTCTTGGGGACAAGTGAGGCCCAGATCCCAAAGGCTCTTCCTACTCTGCACCTCAGTCCAGATGTTGGCATGAACACGAGTGACCTGAAAACCTTTACACCATCCTGGTGTTCCCTGCACAGTGGAGCAGAGCTGGGCACACAAAAGGGTGATGCTCACCCTGCAGCACTTGATAACCCCACAGTGAGATGTGACCCACAGATGGCTGGGAAAGGGGGGAACTGAGACTCCTCGACGGTCACAGAGTATTTGGAGGAAACACTGAACAAAAGTATTTCTTACAGCACCAGGCTGTGCCCGGCAGCTAAAGCAGAGGGGACAGGCTGGCTGTGCCAATTCTGGGGCTTGGTGAGATGCAGCAGAGGACACAGGGTTGGTGAAGTACCTTCACAGTCTGGCTGGGAGCCGCTCCAGGAGCCGTTGGCCTGGCAGGTCCTCTCGGATGAGCCCCGGAGGACGTACCCGGGCTCGCAGCTGAACCTCACCACACTGCCCACAGCAAAGTCATCTCCCAGCCCAATGCCATGGGAGGGGATCCCCGGGTCCCCACACACACCTTGGCTGCTTCCTGTTAGGAAGAGAGCACAGAATCAGCAGAGTGAGCAAGACTTTGGCCCTTCTTCCCTCCCAAGTGCATGTGTTCAGAAGCCCAGCACAAAGATTTGGATCTTGTGGCTGACTTGACCTAACTCGGGCTCTCAATAGAGTGGAGACATTCCAGCTGAAACATCCCCTGACTCCAGGAGCCCACTGGTTTTAAGCTGGATGTAAAATCCAACCATAACTCCTGAATCTCAAGATGGAGCCCTCACCAGCTGCAGCTGCTTTCCCTGGCAGCTGCTCCAGCAGACAGCTGGTTGCCAGCATCAGTCATGTGGATGGTTCCCCTCCAAGCAGAAATGATGACATGCTCCAAGCCACCCCAGCACGCCCTATTGTCTTTGCAGAAGAAGAAGCTGCTGGGTTTGGAGCAGAGAGGCTGGAGAGATCCTGCCGAGAAACATCCACTTGTACATGTGGAGAACCTTGGAGCTGCTGCTAAAAGTTTGGGGGGCAGGAGGAAGGGAGCAGTGGTAGCAGACACCTCACAAGGGTTTTCTGGAGCAGGCTGGAGAAATGCCCACCTCCTCACTGCCTGACACAGGCTCACACCATGCACGCCTGTTCTTGGCTGTCTCTGCTAATGATCTGTGTAAACACATCTGCCCCCGGGCCAGGAAAGACTATTTCACTCCTGCAGCCAGTAATGACATTCCTGGGCCCTCCTGTGCCCTGCTGCAGGTACAGCCCTTGCAGGGATACGGGTAATGTAAAACATAACGAGCATATTCATCACCTGGGGAATGTACTTGCTTGGAAAGAGGGAGAATGCTCCAGGCTCAGCATTTTCTTTCACATAACGACTTACATCAAAGTCTTTTGTTTCATCTTGCAAAAACTGCTGTCACAACGTGGGGATCCTGCACTCACGATGGAGAACCTTTGGCAGGAGATGATCTGAGCTGCATTTTGCCTCCTTTGTAACTGTACTGCCTGAGTTTGGTGTGACAGAAGAGCCTCTCCCAAACCCCTGGGTGGAAACCATGGTTCTAAGGCAGTGGGCATTCACCTGGGCCCTGATGGGAGAGGGTCTGGCCAACGCCACCAGCCTTGGTCTAAAGCTGCCTTGGTCTAAAGTAATTTGGAAAACAATCACACACAACAGGTGCCAGTTGGAACTAGTCAGAAAAACACTGAATGTTTAAAAAAGTCCACCTGCAAGGATGACAGGAGAGACAGTGAAAACCACATGGGGAAAGGCACGAATTAGAGCAGAAAACCTTTTGGAGCAGCTACAGATCAAGAACTCTGCTCTGCAGATCAGGCTTCTGAATATAAGGATGACTCCACCTCATTTCTTTTTCCCTTCCAAAGCAGAGGTTGAGCTTGGTCAAGTGGAGCTGCTAAACTTCAGTGGCATAACTAAAAATTAACACTTGTCCCAAATGCTTTGCTCCAGCTGAGCTCTGCTGTGGCCTGTCTCTGTGCTCTCCAAGGAACCAGTGATGGGGCAGGGTGGGGAGGGCTTTGCACAGTGTCCTGCCAGCCACCCAGTGCCCAGTCTCCCACTGGAGGCCACCAGCTGAGATCCCAGCACCTTAACTTCAGGGAGGCTTGGCAAGCACATCTCACTGCAGCCCCCATGACTCTGACCCACCTCCCATCAGGGACTTTTTGGCTTCTCGGGACGTTTGCAGTGTGAGACCTTCCTCACTCTGGCACGGGAGTGGGGATGGACTTGTGCTGCCAAGCTGCTCTCCGTGGAGATGCTGATGATGAAACTCATAGTACCAGCTTACACTTGCCTTCTGCAGACCTGAGACTGCTGTGGTGCCATAACAGCAGATGTCAGGGCCTGGAAAGGGGCCACATGGGTTTCTTTTATTGGAATGCACAAGAAGGAGGGTCAGATCCTGCAGATGGGATGCGAGGACCTGATTTTGCATCAGACACATTCATCCTGCACAGATTCTGCATCGAGAAAACTGAAGCAGCAGGCTGCAGGGCACCTCCTACCACGAACATTTTCTGCAGGGATTGATTTCTTGTCTTGCAAGCCGAGCAGTTTACTCTCTGCCAGTGCTTATCATCCAAGTTGCTCCATCTTGAGATACAGGGACCTTCAGAGGCTGCCACAAACCCCCTCTGCAGCACGTGTGCTTCTCCAGCCCAGCAAGGCAAGGGAAAAAGGGGCAGGGGTGGATGGGACTGCCCTGTGCCCCCTCCCAAAGCCCAGCTCACCTGAGCAGTGGGGCAGGGAGCCGCTCCAGCGCCCGTCCAGCTGGCACATCCGAGTGGCGTTGCCGATCAGGGTCCGTTTCCCCAGGCAGCTGTACCGCACCACGGAGCCCACCGTGTACTTGTCCCCCGAGATCTGAGCGTGGGGTGGGGAGCTGGGGTGGCCACAGGAGACCACTGCAAGAGACAGATGCAACAGCTTCAGCCACAAGGGACGTGCTGGTGATGCTCATGTGAAGGCAGATGCAGCAGCGATGCAGCAAAGTTTGAGGTCACCGTGTGGGACCTTGGCAGCTCCAGACCCCTCACCTGCCCAGAGTCCATCACATGCTGGTGCCACGGGGCAGGTGTGGCACAGCAGACCTTTGGGGAACACGAGCTGGGCCTACAAGAACTGCCAAGTGTTTGGGCATAAATGCCTAGTCCTGACACTGCCAGGCATTCTGCAGGTTCCTCGGAGAACTCATCCCTTCTTCAACATCACTATTTCCATGCCCACCCGGCAGCACCAGGTCCTGCCACACAGGAGCTGCAACCAACTCTGCGTCACACCTGAGCAAACCAGCCTGGCAGATTGGGAGCACTGCTCACTCGACCACTGCCAGTGAAAAAAACACCCCTAGCAACAATGACTAGGTTAACTTTGGCTTAGCAACCAGAGTGGAGCCAGGGAGAGGCTGCTGACAACAGCCTGGCAGCTCCAGGGGCTGCCAGAGAGGTCTGGGCGAGGGTGCCCAGGGCTGAGCCGGGCACTGCGCGGCTCCTGGAGGGAAGTGTCCGGAACCGACAGCTCCTCCCCCTCTGCTAGACTCTAAAAATACCAACACTGGCATTAGGCAGAAAACATGATGTATGTTTCAATAAAAAAGGAGAGCACGCATATGTTTGGGCACGTGGGTGTTGAAAGATGCTGGTGCAGAGCTGTGACTAAAGCCAAGGACGCTTCGCAAGGCAACGGGCTTGAGAGCTGATACTGAAGCTCAGACTGTAACTAACAATTTAATAACAGACACTCCAGCAGACTCAGCTGAGCTCAAAACCTGTGATGGTACAGAGGTTTCTGAAGTATTTATGTACACAGGGTGAAAACTGTTTCTTCTGATTCATGAGGCTCTTCTCCTGTGTCCTTTACTCATTGGACTCGCTCTCCCATCCCTCAAAGGGGATCATTTGTTTTACTCTCTCCTCAGAAACAGACAGGAGACAACATCCACCACCCAAGCCTGCCTGGCATCAACCTTCTTGTTTTATGCCTTATGTGCCCAGCTGTAAAGGGGTATGGGTTTCAGCACAGAGCACACCTGAAGTTCAACACACAGAAAACAAAGAAATGCAAATATAGATACATATATAATTTTTTTTAAACTATGAAGCCCATGAATCCACATCATCAGCTGTAAAGCTGACCTGGCTTTCCAAAGCTTTGAGAAAACCCACAAATCCTCCAAGTCAATGGATGCTCAACATTTTAAGGCAGGAGATCCCTTTTACTTAGCTGGAAAGCTGTGGGCTGAGGGAGCCTGAGATCTCAAGTTTTAAAAGGTAACTGCACCCCCAGATCCCCTGTGGGAACAGGAGGTTATTACCTCTCAACTCCCCATGGCCTGTGCAGGGTGCTACAAACGTGAGAAGGTGACATGCTGCTAACAAAAGGAAAGGAAAGTGTGCCAGGAACTACTTTGGGTGAATAGGTGTCCAAGGATAATACAAGAAACAAAACCAAAACACTCATGGCTTTGGAACATCTCAGCCAGTTTGAACCTCAGGAGCTCCATCTATGGCTGCTGCACCAGTTCATTGTGCTGGTACCAGGAGATGGCAGCTGCTGGTGTCTGTGCTGCACAGGTCCTGCTGCCCTTCTCCACCTGCAACACTTTTTTGGACTTGATGATCTTAAAGGTCTTTTCCAACCTAAATGATTCAGTGATGATTCTGTGATTCTCTGCTGGAGCTGCACAGAACCAGTGACACCCAGCACAGGAGCTGCCCTCCCCTGCAGAGGGAAACCAGAGATGGTTTCCCAGGACTCCTCTCCACAGATCATGTATTTTCCTTCTGTGGGCAGGATCCAAAGGCCAGTGAAGCTGATGGAATAATTCCTAGGGATTACAGAGGGCTTTGGATCCATATTTTCTACATGACCGTTCTGCAAAGCACCAGGGAACTACATGGGATGGAAGCCTGTGGTGGATGGGAATTATTCTGAAGAACTTACAAAGACACTGTGGGAGGGCACGGTCCCAAGTGCCATCCCCCTGACAGGTAAGGACATGTGTACCCAATAAGTAATATCCATGGCTGCACTGATATGAGACAGTTGTTCCAAAGCTGAATCTGTGAGGACCACTCGGCTGCACTTGACGGATGCTGTTTTCCAGGTGCCCGGGGTCAGTACAGTTAACAACTGCAAGCAAACAACAGAAACAAAAACAAAACAAAAACAAAAAGGGTGTAACAAAGAACAAAGGTTTATCTACAAATGAGCAGGAAAAAGTGTGTGTCTGTGCGGGAATTGCAAATCACATATGCCACAATTTGAGGCTGGGTTTTGTTTTTGTTTTTGTTTTTTTTAAGGTGTTTTGTTTGTTTGTTTTTTGAAGATTCTTTGGGGCAGAAAAACTCCTTATTAAAAGGAAAAGAGGGAGCAGAAGCAATCCTGCAGTCTGTCACCCTGCCAGGCCAGGCTCAGCAGCAGAGCTCTGCTCCCTGGCCCCAGACCAGCACCCACATGAGCCAGTTGAGGGTAATTGATTTCTTGACCAACACATGGACAATATCAACAGAGATACTGGATTAAGGGAGCACAAAGGAAGGGAGTGCAGGGAGGGGAGGGAATCTGGGAAGTGAAGTCAAGTGCCAGTACCAGTGGAAGGAGGGCAGCTTAGGTGGAGAAAGGGCTCTGCACAAAGACCATGGGGTCTGTTTTGAGTAAACTACTCTAGGGTTGCCAGGATGACCTCTGCTAAGGGTCTGGCCTGATGCTTTCTTGTGCTCCCCACTCACAACATGTACTTCAACGTCTTGAAGGATGCAGGGCTGGGTAGGGCCCATTAACAGCTTTGAAAGAAGCCCCAGGGAAAACCAGGTTTGTTGCATGAGATTTACACAGCCCTTGGACCTCCCCATCACTTGTACCTTCCTGAGGAACCACAAGGTTTGGTTTACGTGAGTTTCTGAGAGTGTGAAGCAGGATTTTAGGAACCCAGAGTGACCAGAGGAAGGCACAGATGAATCTGAGCTGCCTAGATGGGATGGAGGCAGAGGACTCACCACGGCAGGAGGGCAGGGTGCTGCTCCACTGTCCATTGGCCAAGCACTGGGACTGGGATGCTCCTTCCAGGCGATACCCCGTGTTGCACACAAACTTGGCCACATCGTTCAGATTGAACTGAGTCCCCTGGGTCAGGCCATTGGCGGGGTTGCCAGGGTGGCCGCAAGTGATAGCTACAGTTAGAAATTGGAGATGTTATTTTATTGCCTGGAAAAAAAAGTGGATTGCCCATTGGAAAAAGGAGACCATAAAAAACCCCTACATCAGCCCTGAAACCTACACTGACTTCAGAGATTTGTGGCCAGCTCTGCTGAAACACTGAATCAAGCTGAGAGCCTGGTCCCTCTGTTCATTTTACTGGCATGAGGAATTCTCTGAACTGCTCTTCAGGCAGCTGAGTGCCAGCATCCTACTGACTTCCACCATAAATCCCTAGAGCTCCTCTTCAAAAACCCCAGCTCCTGCTATTAATCTATTGCCTTGCATCACCCTGGGCATCACACAGGGAGTCAGGACGTTCTCCCCCCTCTCCCTGGGGCAGGGCAGGTGTGTGCTCACTGCAGGACAGGGCTGCACCTGGAGGGATAGTTAAAGGAGAGGAAAAATACGACAAAAGCCACTTTCCCAGCATATGGCTGAGAAAGTTTAAATCTTCCTGCTTTAAGTTTGAAAAACTTTGGGAAAAACCTGTATTTCTAAATCCCTGAAATGAGGATTTTTGTGCAGCTCTTGTGGCTGAAGGGTCCTGCTCTGAGCTGCTCCAGCAGCGCCCAGGGAAGCTGCAGAGGCCACGGCTGGAGCAGCATCCTCAGATTCAGCCAGTACTGAAGTTCCAAGCATTTTTGCCTGAGCAACTCCAAGTTGGAAAAGGAACATCAGGAGATTCCATACGGAGATTTTGGGCTGCTTAAGGCATGTGACATCTCCTGACAGCCAAGGACAAAGCAATATTGCTTATTGTCAGGCTGAAGCAGGGTAATGGTTCATCAGTAAATGTCCAGCAGTTCAGCTGTTCAGCTGCCAAAGCCAGAAGCTAGAGGGAAAGATGAAATTCCCACAAAAGATCCATAACACATTTGACTGCCAGGGCTGGACTGTACCACAGGGGTGGGAATTTATTCCTTGTGCAAGCTGGTGACATGTACAGGTCTAAAAAATATGAAGCCTGATAGCATTTCAGTGCTGCAGGAAGCAGATGTCAGGTTCTCTGAGGTACTTCTGAATACAATTATACATGTTTTGAAACAGGTGATGGATTCTGTCCCAGAAAAAAAAAAAAAAAAAAAAAAAAAAAAAAAAAAAAAAAAAAAAAAAAAAGACTCCCCACAGCTGATGTGGATCAAAAAGACCCATTCACACAGAGAAAGCAACTGTAGCAGGTTTAAAAAGAAGCTATGAGGACAATAGGAAATGATAATGTGCTAACACACACACAGTGCCCTGAGATTCCTCAGAAGCAACAAAGCCTCAAGGCATCTAATTTCAGAGCCCAACAGTGCTCTGCTTTAATGACATTAAATTTCTGTTATCCATAAGGCCTAATGTAGTGCAATAACTTCAAGGCCAACTTGTGCACAGGAGATGCCTTTACACATCTCTGCACAAAAGCTTGGTGGGCTTTCAGGTGCCAGAGTCAGAAGCTGGCACAGAGCAGAGCTGAACAAAGGCACCATAGGCAGAAGACAGATACAGATGAGCAATGTTCATCTGCTCTGTTCTAATGGGTTTGGTCCCTCCTGAAAGACACAAGACGATCCATGAAAATGGATGTTTAGAAAATCCTGCTTTTCCATATATCTGCCTGACAGCAGGAGGGCCTCTATCAGTATGATTTCCTGGTCCAAGGTTAGTATAAATATACTTGGCAGGTAAAAGTGAATTAAACCTCTTTCAAGAGAGCATCCTCAGACATGAGAGTAATTCAAACCTACCTGCAGACCCAGACACAGCCTTTCCAATAATTCTTTTCCTAAAAAGCTCAGGCAGAATCCTAGACATCCTCTAAGTTTTGGAGTCACTACTAACCTTGACAACTTAAGTGTGCTTCTTCTCTTTAGGCAGGAATCTGCATAGTCACTGATATTTTGCTGCTGTTACTGCCTCAGTACATAAAGCTCTAAACCAGACTGGAGAGATTGGAAGCAAACAAGTGGAGAATCATGACAGGGAATGCATGGGTTGCACTGTAGGGTTTTAGAAACTTAATTAGCTTATTTGCTGGAAAGATAAATGAGCACGTTGTACAAGGTGACTTGAGAACGTGGACAGGAGGAGGATGGAGCCTGACCCAGCCCCCCCCTCAGCTCTCTCCTACAGGAACCCCAGGGATGCTCGTGCAGGCTGGGTGTGCAAGCTCTGAGCAAGCCCCTTGGCCTGTGCCCTCGTGCTCCCAGCACCCCAGGGCTGAGCAGAGCTGCCAACATACTTACGCACGCAGACAGGCGTCCTCCCGGACCAGCGGTGGTCCTGCTGGCAGATGCGCACGGACATGCCGATCAGGCGGAAGCCGGGGCTGCACTGGTACACCACACTGCCCCGGTAGTTGTAGTTCTCCCCGTTGATCTGCCCGTTGACAATGGGGCTGGGGACCCCACAGTGCCCCGCTGGGGGAGGGAGACAAGGGGAGTCACCAGGAGCTCGTCCTGGCCCCTCCCGAGGGCATTGCGCTGCACCCTGATTGGAATTCGAGTCTCTGCGGTCATACATAAAACTGAAGCAGCAGTAAAAGCAACGTCACATCCTTAAAGCTCTCTGAGCTCAAACCATCCCTCCTCTAGCGAGCAGTAAGGAGTCAAAGTCTACTTAAAACCCTACCAGCACCAGCAGCGCCGAGTTCTGGCTTGGGTTCTTCCCTGAACCCGCATCAATAATTCCCATTCCCTCCAGAAACACCACCAGGATCCCCTGCCGCAGCCCAGATGGTCCCCACCCACCCAGACACCTACCCAGATACCTACCCAGACACCTGACTTCAGCTCCGCTCCAGAGCCCGTTGGCCATGCACTCCCGCACGCGGGACCCCACCAGGGTGTAGCCAGTGTTGCAGGAGAAGATGGCAGTGGCCCCAAAGGTGGTGAGCCTGCCAATCTTGTTCCCGTTGGGAGGAGTCGGCAGGTCTCCGCAGGAGATAACTGCAAGAGGTCCCAAAGCACCGTGAGCCAGAACAGGGAGGTGCCTTCTTTAAAGAAATGCACTTGGTGACATTCACCAGCACAAGTTCCTACTGAAGCCAGAAACGAGTAGGGAAGATTCATGAAGTAGTTACATGGATAATAACAACGACTCAGAGTCATGCCACGCGAGGTGACAAATGTAAGTGCTGTTGATATTTATGCTTCAGGACACAAGGGAAGCTCTAAGGATAAGACTGGCTGGGAAGAAACTACAGAAGTTTTTGAACACAGGAATATTTCTACATGAACCCATCAATTGATGGAAGCCCAACTTTCAGAAAAGACACAAAATGGCACAAGATTTCCAGTCAGAAAGTGACACCCAACTTCTTCTCACACCGTGACTTCCAGGACACCTGGCCCAAGTCCTGGTGTGAAGGGTGCAGCTGGAGCCTGGCCAGGAGCAGCAAAGGCAGCTCCCAGCCCCAGACTTCAGCTCTGTATTTTATCTACCTTAAGGGTCTGCAAAGCCTCTGGAGCTTTTGCACTCAGTAGAAAATCCATAGACTCAGGCTGGTGCTTCTGACCTCAGTGTGTTGCCAAGATCCTGTCATTGGAATTTAGGTGGCAATAAGGCTGAAGAAATGAAATGAGGTCAGGCTCATGCTCCCGGATCTGGCTGAAGAGCTACGAGGGGTGCAACTACATCTGTCACCAAAGTTGGCTCTTGCACCTCTAGAAACAAAGGGAGGCAGGAGGGGAGGGAAAGCTGTCATTCTGAATGAGAAATGTCTCTGTCTCTCCCTGCACTAAGAGAGAAAACCCCTCCATCTTTGACAAAAGACAAGAACCAAAGCACACCAGTCATGTCAGAACGACTGAGCGAGCTGCTTGCTTGTCAAGAGTGGTTTTGATTTACAGGTGACACAGTTGCCCTTGTAAACTTGGCATTTGTGCAAAATTGGAAGAGGTTAGGTTTTAAAGCAGAATTTTTTACTTTCTTCCTGAAAAGCAAACTTCAGAGCATCTGGCACCAGTGACAGCTCAGCTGCTGGGACCTGACAGCAATGGATGAGCAAATGTGCTGGAGTTCCTGCAGAACTGTTTAGATTTAACCAAGGATTTGAACAACAGGTGACCTCTCCCTGCATCCCAACTATCTTCTACCAGAGCAGCTCTGCAGAGGCTGCCAAGAGCAGCAAAGGGCCAGTGTGTGTTTGCTCCCCAAAAACAGTCCCTAGCCAACCACCCAGTGGCCCCAGGACCCCCAGCCCCTGCCAGGCCTCCCATGACACTGCCCTGCCCCAGCGCAGCTCCAGGACTTCCCTGCTCCTCTTACTTTTACAGGTGGGCATGGGTTCTCCTATGCTCCACTTCCCATTGGCTTGGCACCTGATGACCCTCTGGCCCGTGTAGTAGTAGCCAGGGTCACAGATGAGCATCAGCTGGGCATTGTAGTGGTAGTGGATCTCGTAGGTCAGTCGCCACCGGCCGTGCTCCACCGCAAGGCTGCTGATGTCGGGACAGGTGACAGCTGAAAACCAGAGGTAGGGAGTCAGGGAAAAGCAATGAGACAGAAAGATGTTAATAAGGTGTGGAACTTCAGGGCATTTCAGCAAGTCTGCTGGCTTTATAACAAGGGGGCCAGTATTAGCATCTCTGCTCTACAGCTGGGAAACCAAGACACCGTGAGAGGGAGCATCAGATCCGAGTTACATGGGATTAGAAACCCTATGTCCTAAATCCCAGACTGGTTTGGGTTAGAAGGGACCTTAAAGACCATCTAGTCCCAATCCCCCTTCAGAGGCAGGGACACCTCCCACTGGACCAGGTGGTTCCCAGCCCCATGCAACCTGTCCTATGCACCTATGGGGCAAAGCCATCCATGCTAGAGCTGCAAGACCTTGCTGGAGAGACTCCCGAAATTCCCTGTGGAACTGCCCTGCTGGCAGCACTCACCCACGCACTGGGGGGGCTGGTTGCCGTTGCTCCACTGCCCCTCCTGCAGGCACTCTGTGCTGGGGTCCTCCCCAGGCTGCAGCTGGAAGCCCTGGTTGCACTGGTACATGGCCTTTGTACCCACCGTGTACTCCTTGCCAAAGACAACCCCGTTCTTGGGGGCTCTGGGAACTCCACAGGAGAGAGCTGGGAAGGAGGAAGGGAAAAAAAACACAGCTGAGAAATCAGCCAGCTTCCAATTTCATCACGGATTTGTGGTGAGCTGAAAGCCTAGCTCCTGAGCTCTCCTATTTACAAGGGCTCCAGCTCTGTTGAACCCCAGAAGCAGCAACAAATGCCCACTTTCACAGGGGATCAGGTTTTCAACTCCTGACTACCAGTGTGGCAACAGCAAAGCCAGCACTGAATACCAATTCCTCCTGGAAGAGACTCTGGCTCCTACTTTCTGTAATATCTGTAACAAAAAAAAAAAAATGCATCAACACAGTATTCAGAAGTTTTCACACCGAGATAAGGGATTATACAGCAATAATGTTTGGTGTTTACATCCCACAGCAGCAACAGTCTGAAACCCCTTTCCAGCAGCACTTCTGGATTACATAAGGCAGCAAATTGTATAATTATGTTGTGGCAGAAGGAAGGCTAAATTTAGCACTATGGCTGAGAAGGTAAGGGGGGGAATTCAGGGGGAAAACTGACAGGCACGATGCCAAACAGCTGCTGAAGGTGGCAGCACTAGGGAGGAGATGCTCTGCACTGGTCCTGCCGAGGTCCCCAGCTCTGCAGCCACCAGGGCAGAAAGGGGACAGGCAGGTCACAGAAACACGAGCAACAGCCAAACCCAGACAGACCAGAATCACGTTCATTTATGCTGCAAGACTTTCACATGACATGACAAGCCCTGTTACCCTCTTCTCTATTACTGGGAATACCAGCACCGGGAGCCTGTCACTCAAAGATGTTTTTCCCTAGAGAAATTCAGAAGAGCTGGGAAACCAAAGCCAGTCCTGCCTCCAAAAACACCCCACAGGTTCCCCTCCCTCTCTGAGTCTTGGCTCTGGGGAAGCCCATCTCAGCCTACCTACCTGACAGGCATGGGATGACCAAGGGGAAGAGCAGCCTGGGACCTGTGAAGCTGCCACTGCGAGACCACCCACCAGTGGGGCTGCCAAGAGCCTCTGAGGGGCACCAAGAGGAGCAGAGCCTGCTGGCAAGCACTGATCTGCAAGCCAACACCCAACCCAAACAGTGTCTGCATTTTAAACATGTTCTAAAGGAAATCCATTCCTTCCTGCAGCAGCCCCAGCTGCTCCCACTCAGTTAGTGCACGAACTGGATGCTGAGCCCATGTCCCCTGAGCCACATGCTGACCCTTCAAACACACATTCACCTTCCTGTTATTCCTTCTGCACACAAATGAGGGCTGGAGAACCAGCAACCTCATAAAACGTCACCTCCTGGTGACATGGACCCCATTGAGCACTGAAAAGGAGAGACTAAACTTACTGTCTCCAGCATCAGCACAACCACTGGGGCTTTTCTACCACTCAAGGTCCAAGGCACTTTAATCCCAGCAGTGCTGCAGGAGTTGGGCAGAGCCCCAGCCTGGAGCACACCCCCAGCACCCTGCAGCACACCCCCAGCACCCTGCAGATGCTGGTGCTGCTAATAGGTGTCAGTAATTCAGCAGGCTGGTATGAGCACCACCAGCCACATCCCTGGTTGAAATGATAATCACACGTGTGTCACTTCGTGGAGCTCAGGAGCCTGGTGAATCTCTCCACAAGGCTGGGTGTCTAGACGAGCAGCCACACTGAATACCAATTTCATTCTGAGGCAAAGGAAGAGAGGACCTGGAAAGTCCTACCCCTTTCCTTCCACCCAACAGTTCTATTACCTCTTTTTGATGTCGCATCAACCAAAGGGGCTGGTGGGAAAACTAATCCCTTCCCAAGCCACTGCCCCTGCAAAGCCTTCTCTGCTCAGTCCTCTCCTGCAGCCTGATGCCCCATCAAACCTCCTCACCTCCATGTGCCACCAGGAAACTGAGGCACAGAGACTGACAGGGAGGAACACCAGAGTTCAGAGGGACCAGGCTCAGTGAGGTTGAGCTGTCTCTTGCCTTTGGTTCTCTGCAAGCTCCTGTCTGTCTCTCAAGTGGTGTGTCTGATCATTTAGTCTTTCCACTGGGTAAGCCCTGCCCTGAGATAAAAATTAGCCATAATACAGCACATCTGGGCCAGACACAGTTAACTAAAAATGTCATTAAGCCACCAGAAGTAACAACCCTCCTCACCTGAAGATGGTTGGGCTACAATACAAAGAAGATGAGACAGGGAGAGCAAATTGGGGCTGCAACCTCTGCTGTCCTGTGCCCGTGGCAGGACCCTTCCTTCCCTGCAAAACCTGGCATCTTTGAATAGAGTAAGTACATTTTTATTTACAGACCCCTGCACGAAGCAGAGAAGCTGGATTTGGGGGGGACAATAAACCTGCCACCTGCTCCACAGAGCATTTCTGAGGCTCAAGCTGTGGGCACTGCAACCCCCCAGAAACAGAGGAGATGAAGCAAACCAGCATTTGGCCTGGAGAGACCCACAGAGAGTGTGCTCCAGGGAAAATGAGGACTTCTGGGGGTTTTGAGGTACCAAAACTGTCTGCAGGAAGATGTGCTAGGAACAGGGACAGAGGCTATGAAAGCCTCTGCAGCTGGGATTCCAAAAAACAAAGCAGCTTAAAAATAGGCAGCAAAGACAGAAAAGGCATATTAGATCATCTTGTGCTCTTCCCCACGGTGCCAAGGCAAGATTGTTCCCTGCAGAACAGTCTCTGCTGCTCCCATAAATGTCAGTGAGGACAGAGCACGTAGTAAAGATTATTCAGAGGGGATTGGGAAGGGGAAGAGGATTATGTGCTGGCAGAAGGGAGTGATGGGAACTGTCAATTGTTAACTAGACCATGTGTTTATGGGCACCCCAGGTCCCCTCCTCCTGACCCAGCTGATTGTGTGAGCAATTTATGCAGTGCTACAGATTGAGTTCCCAAACCTCTGCCATGTGGTCCTGGCCACCAGAAAGGATGAGAAATTGAGCACAGCCCAAAACAAAAGGTTGCCAGTTGGCTTTGAGAGCAACGTGTGTGGGGGAAAAACCAAAGTGTTGGATTTCATGTTGCTGAACTGGGCAAGAAGAGCAGAGCCAGGCCTGGGTCTCGGCTGCTGGAGACCAGGGGGGGGAGCTGCTCTGCCATGAATTCTCCTCCTGCTCACTCACCTCCTGCATCCATCCATCCCAAGACACTTGATAAGCCAGTGTTACGACTCCTGATGTCAGTACGGGGCAACAGAGAGAGGAGGTGACTTTCCCAAAGGGGTAACTCCCACCTCAAGATCTAACTGAACCAGCTCCTCTTCCTCCACAGACCCAAGCCCACGGAACATCCCAGCACACCAGGGCAGTCAAGACACCTCAGCATTGGTACCTCTTCTTGGTTACATGGTTTTCCTTCAAAAAGATGCAGTGCACCAGAGAAATTCCTTGTGCTGGGCTAAGAATTTGGGAGGCACAGTTGCCATGACAGCTCCTCGAGCTGCTGGTTCATCTGCTCATTCCAGCACTCGGGTTTGTTCCTGTTATCATAGAGGCTGCATCACTGCCTGAGCTTCCGCCCAGTTTCCCAGCTCCCTCTTGCCAATGGGCCTGGGTGGCAGGGGCTTGGTTTTCTGCTTTCCACTCACCTTTAAATAAATTCACCCTTAGAGGGCTCCAAAGGGATACAAGCACCCCCAGCACACACCCACCCTTTAAAGGCAGGGCTGTTTGCATCCCTCTGCAATTTCTAAGGAGACAAGTGATTCAGGAGCACAGAAGAGACTTTTTTCAAGGCTGCCTGGAAGCTCCCACACTAAATAATCCTGCTTTTCCTTACAGCTTAGACTGGACAACAATGCAGACACCGCAGTGAGATTTTGCCTGCGCTGTCTCTGTTCCCTGGCTACTTTCCAGGGAAGTCAATGCAATATTAATCCCCAGTGCTCAGCCCCCTTGGAACATGGATGAACGTTCAAAGACATTGAAAGGCTTCATCAGAATAAAGATGGGCATTTTACCAACACAAAGGAACAGGGATGATTGGTGGATGGAGAAAAAGGTGCAATCAGAAAGTGAACATAGCAAGGGAGACAAACTGGTGCAGAAGCAGAGCCCCCCAGGGCTCACTGCCCTGTCCTGCCCTTCACTCCTATGCCTGGCAGGAGCCCTGTGCTACCTCTGAAGTGTCATGAAGATCACAGCTAATTAGGAGGAAATGTGGAAGGAACAACTACATGCTTAAATCTTATGTGAAGCCAAGAGAAACTGGGTACCATCTGAATCCCAAGCAATTTCTTGCTCACTGTTGGCACATGCAGATCTAGGAGGGCACTTCCAGAAATACCAAAAGAAATTCCAGTCACTAAAACCCAGTGGGAGCCGTGCTCCTGCCAGCCTTCCCAGCTTCCTCTAAGCAAAATCTTCTCCTGTCCTTAGCCCAACCTTAGCTGTGTCTTGACTGGGAGTTCAGACATTTCTGCAACAGCAGCATTTGCACAGAAGAGCTTTTCCACCCTCATCCCAGGTCAGACAATGACCCTCTGCTCCTGAATGGTTACTCCCTTCCCTCCTTGCTCATACCCACTCCCAAGGATGTGGATATAAGAGGCCCAACCTCCCCTGCCCACCAGCAGCTCCAAGCCCGTTCTTCTTATGAACCTGGCGGAATTCAAATAGCTTATTTTTTTAATTGTTACTGCATTTTCCTCAGTCCTTCTTCCCAGATCCTTGTATTGCCACGTTTGCCTGCTCTCACCTTGGCACAGAGGGATGGCTTCGTTCCAGTGGAAGTAGCCTTGGGGATGCAGGGAGCAGGTGGTGGTGCTGTGCCCCTCCCCGCCCGAACCCCGCTGTCGCAGCCGAAGCGGACGGTGCTGCCGGGCTGCTGGCCCGCCTGGCCCAGGATCAGCCCGTGGGCTGGCGGCCGTGGGAGGCTGCAGTAGGGAGCTGGAGGGAAGGGCAGAGAGAAAGGAATCAGTCCCTGGATGGGCAGCATTGAGACCAGTTCCCTTCCTGCCCTCAGGAGTGATTCCCTGCTTCCCACAACCCGAGGATGTGGAAGAGAACTTGTGATGGATAAAAAAAAAGCCAAAGGGGGGGGGGAGAGTGCAGGGCTGCTGTCCAGGCTTCAGCAGCTCTGGAAATAAAGACTCATTTCTGGTAATTAAATATTACTTAATTCATTTACTGAGTAAAGTCATTACTTATTTATGACATACTGGCAAGTTCTCAACCCAGTTTTATAACTTCCATTAATTAAGATTTGCTTAGTTCCAAAACATAGTCATTCATTTTGAGGAATTCTCAGCAAAGACTCAGTGTCCAGCAGCAGTTTTGTGCTGAACGAGCACAAGACTCCCTGGCCCTGCCCCTGCAAGATGCTGGAGCAGGAGCACAATGGGATTCAATAATGCACTGTGAATGCTGTGACATGATCAGGGACAGGGAAGTTGTGAAGCTCCCCGTGTGTCCTAACACACGTTGCTGTGTTTTCTGATGGTCACCTTCAAACATCTCAAAATGACCTCATTGCAAGGACACAAACATTTAGTAACCCTGCAGCAAACTTCACTGTGAACTGCATGGGATGGGTTTCATTCACCCACAGCCACCTTGTCTGTGGTTATATGGTTCTGATTCTTTAGAGTGGCTGAAAAACCAGCCAAAGCTTCCAGGCTTCTTCTGGAAATAAACCCACCTCCCCCAGCCTCCCCAGCCCAGAATGAGCCCAGCTTTGTGCCCTTCCCAAGCCTTGGCAGCTCCTGCCCACACAGATGGCCTGAGACCCTCTGCAGCAATTTCGTGGAGATCTTTGGCTGGAGGTTTGGCCACGTTCCTGGCAGAGGCACCTGGTCCCTGCCGAGGGCTCACCTGAGTAGCGGATTTTGAAGCCTTTTCTGCTGTAGGCATGATCAGAGGACCAACGGAGATAGACGTTGTTCCCGCTGCTGGTGACGGTCAGAGGGGCAGAGTAGTTCCCACTCAGGGACAGGAGCAGGGGACTCTGGCCAGAGGGACCTGTAAGGAAGCAGGAAAAGTCAGGGTTGACACCCAGTCACTCGTGGGCCTTAGGAGCCAAGGTGTGTGTTTGCAGAAGGAACAAGGACTCTGTGGAACTGCAGCACTCACTGCCACCGTGAGTGCAGCAATGGCAGCTCATGCTCAGGCTTCCTGTGAACATGAGTCCCAGTGCAGACACCTGGTTCCTGGGAAACCAACCAAATGAAGGCCAGTTCATCACAGTGAGACCATGATTTTGCTCCAGGCGTATGCCTTGGGCTCAAGTCTTGATGAGCAACCAGAGGAGCAGCAGCAGAGCAGGTGTGTTCTGCTCTGGTTACAAAGCTGCATCACTGTGAACACCAACAGATCCCCTCTCAGCTCCTGAGAACTCCTGGGCCCAGAAAATCTGGCCTGCACAGGCTTCAGGAACGAGAAGTCCCACCTTCTCAACTCACCCCTTCCCAGCAACCTCTGCTACAACTTCTCCCAGGAGTTTGCTAACTCTGCACCTTCTAAAAACACTTTAGATCCATCCAAAAATCAAATATTTGATATTTTCTTTCCCAGAGAATCAATAAGCCTTAGGAGGAGCTTTCCTTAAGTCCAGCAGAAGGTGATAGGTGTAGGGGTGGAAAGCTCTCCCCAGACTGCTCTTGGAACAAAGATTAATTAACAAAATGCTGCCCTTTCTCCCTTTCCCCTCAGATGCTGTGCAAGTCAAACTGGTGAATCTCTTACCATCAAAGATCTCAAACTCATCATATTGCTTCTCGCTCAGGAAGTACTCGATGGTCAGGGAGATGTTGTACCCAGGCTCTACCTTCACCACCCAAGAACAGGTCTGGAAGTGAGGGTAACTCCCCACGAAGCTCTGGCTGAGGATCACACCAGTGGAGTCTGTCATCACCTCGTTCATGGGACAGTGCACTGAAAGGAACGTGAGGGAGAGACAATGGAAAATGCATTTTCCTGTTTTGCAGAGGAAAGAAAGACACACAAAACACTGTGGCCAAGAAGGTCTCTCCTGGTGAGCTAGATCAAGGCAAAGCACAGCTCCCACTCCTGTACATCCACCACACACCGTGACCCCAGGGGGCCCAGAGAATCCCCAGGCTCTGGGTGAAGCACATTGAGCTTCCACAAACCTGAGCAACTGCCAGGTTTTAAGGAAGGGGCAAAAAGCAGCAACACAAACCAAGAGCTTCAACCAGCTCTGCATCATTTTGCATCTCTTTCAAAATGAACAACAGTGCAACCAAGCAGCTCTGCTCCAGTTGCAAAACACTCCCTGGGAATCCCTGGAAACTGCATTACCTGGGTGAGAACAAGGTGGGGAACTACAGGCTTATCCCAGGTCACCCAGGGAGCTGTTAATCAGGACCTAAGGACTCCAATTCCTTTCTAATCACTACACCCCACAGCTTTTGGAAATATTAAATCCAGCACAAAGTGCTCAATACAAAGGCCAGCAAAAAATGCCCCAAAAAGAAGAGGGAAACACACAAAGTGAGCAAAAAGCATAAAAAGTAAAGAGATCTTTACCCATAACTGTCACTAAAACCCAGAGCTAGAGTGGTACTTGTATTAATAGAAAACAGCCAGAACTATCCAGAAAGAACAGTGTATTCTTTCCAAATCCTTAATCCCATCAGTGATTTTTTGACCTCCACAAATTGGTGGCCAGATGTAATTTAAGCAGTCCCTTTACCCCCAGGCTAACAACCATCAGTAAATAACTGAATGACCTCCCTTTCTCTCCTTCAGTTCATGCTATTTCGGCGAGAATAAAGCTACAGAAAAATATCCCATTATATGGTAAAAATGTTCAGACAGGAGGGAATGAAGGCGATGAAATAATCGCAGTTGGAGCGAACAAAAGCACCAGCAGGAA